TAAATGATATGATAAAGAGAGGTCACAGATTAAAATATTTTACAAAGTAAAATTTACCTCGACCGATTAAATTATTTATTATACTATTTTATAAATTATAAATTCTCTTTATGATTAATATGTACGTTGCAGATATAAAATATAATTCAATATTTATTTTTAAAAAATGTGAAAAAAATTCAACGTGAATCTCGTTATATTCATTTATTGTTGAATCAAGAATTGTTTAACATTTACTAAATGGTATTTTAGGCGTATTTTGCTGCAAGGACTTACAGCAGTAGCATACCAACAGTTAAGATGTACATTGATGGCCAATTCGTAGGTAATTATTTAATTGTAATAAAAGTTTAAAAATATTCTCATGAATGCTGTATTTCGTTATTTATTATAAAAGCATTATAAAAACAAGAAAAGTAATTAATTCATTAAGGAAAAATACTTGCAACAATCCTATATCCTATGTGAGGATTAATAATTTTTAAATAAACTTTACATTTATTCTTTTGAATAATTTATAATTAACTCCTTGTTTCTCTTTTTTTATATTTATTACATTTACATATTATTTACATGAAATTTTCATGCGGATGTAAATATATACTTTTACGAGCATAAATAAAAGAGTGGAATCTGAATAAAAATTTATTTTCTACAGTAAATATTATAACGAGTATTCTACCTTGAATATTTCGTAAATTGTATCACTTATCCATTTCTGCAACTTTAAACATTTCATAAATACGATAATATTTTTCAAATTATAAAAAATTTTATCTCTTCTTTCCTAATTTCGTTAAACGTTCCGATTAGATTTTCTGAAAAAATACATAAAGTTTTAAGTATATTCACGTTTGATCGAATTTATATTGAATTAATAATCTGAAATTATGGCTCAATTCTGAGATAACATTCCTATTTTCAATGTAAATCTATCGAAAAATTGAATTGTGTGCGTTTGTTGGTTGAATCGATGTTCACTCGATCGTCCAAACACTAAGGCAATTATGGCATTATCAAGAACAAAACGTGATGGAACAGATATTCGGCTCTTTGAAGCACTCTTCAACCTATTTTTCGTACGATACAACCCGTTATGAATATTTAAAGTGCGCTTTTAAAGGCATTTAATTGAAGCTTGCGGCCCACGAGTACTTCTCGAGCACCTATTGAAACTGTACAGAAAAGGCGTCATATTTCGAGATGAATTCAATTCCAAGAATTGTTTTAATGACGAATATTTACAAATGGAATAAATAATACTGGATTATATGGAAGGTATTAAAGTTAAATTTTTTTGTTCTCCAGATAAAAAGTGTTTGAAAAAAATTTTAATCGAAGATATATCGAGAAATCATCTTTTTTATTATTCTTTAATTAAATATATATTTATATTCTGGATCATTTTACACAACCTTTGGTGCTGGAACATTCGCGGTCTTAATTTATCCTCATTTGATATTAATGGGTCATAGGTGACCAGAATAGTATGCGTTAAAATATTTAAACGGTATTCAAGATGATAAGGATTACAAATAGCTTTATATAAAAGAATATGCAAAAAATACATAGAAAATAGAAAATTAATTTTTAAGCTAAGATTAAGCAAAGATTGGCAAATTTCACAATTAAAATTATCCTACGATAAAGATTTTAAACATTTTCAATAAAAAAAAAATAAATAATTATTTCAAAAGAATTCTTCGATTAATCATTTTCTTAAAATTCCAAAAATGGACATGTGACAAATTAGTGTTATTTTTTTTTTTCTTTTTTTCCAACTTACATTGGTTTTAATATACGTTTTAATCCGTTTCAGAATCAAAGGCCACGGAATATACCGACGTTCATGACCCGGCAACAAATGAACTTTTATGTCGTACCCCAAAATGCACGAAAGAGGAAATGGAGACAGCCGTGAAAAGTGCGAAAGAAGCTTATGCAAAATGGAAAAATACGAGTGTACTTACCAGACAAACACTGATGCTCAAATATCAAGCTCTTATTCGCGAACACTCGGTAAGTTTGTCCTAAAATTTCAACTTTGTTCTACAAGAAAGTTTTTTTAAAAAAATTACTTCACAATGGAACAAACTTTCTATCGAAACTCACCTCTAATAAAAGAATGATGATATACGATAAATTATTTTGTAGAAAGAAATCGCAGAGAACATGGTGAAGGAGAACGGGAAGACAATGGCCGATGCCGAAGGTGACGTTCTTCGAGGGTTGCGTAAGTTTATTAGAAAAGAAAAAAAGATATAGCACACAAATTCGTATTCATTACAACATCTCGTATTTTCAGACAAATGCCCCACACACACAGAAAAAAAAAAACGCACACGCTCGACACGATCCATCCCCCATTCGTTCCCCTTGGAACGAGCAGCAACGTAGGGACGATAGATCACACCCGTTGATTTATGTTGCAGAGGTGGTGGACGCGTGTGCCGCGATTCCTTCTCTCCAAATGGGGGAGAGCACGCCAAATATCGCCACCGATATGGACATAATTTCCTACAAACTTCCCCTTGGCGTAACTGCCTCCATCTGCCCGTTCAATTTCCCCGCGATGATACCCCTTTGGTCGTTCCCGGTCTCGGTCGCATGCGGAAACGCCGCCGTTCTGAAACCGTCGGAACGCGTGCCAGGCGCTTCGATGATCCTCGCCGATCTGTTCACCAGGGCAGGCGCGCCCCCAGGATTGTTGAACGTTATACACGGCCAACACGCGGCTGTCGATTTTATCTGCGAGCATCCGGATATCAAAGCGGTTTCTTTCGTCGGCTCCGATCAAGCGGTACGTTTCCTTTCTCTTCTCCTCTTTTTCTTTTACAATCTTCGTTCTACAGAGAGAATCGGTCGATTAATTCGTTCGATAGATCGGTAATAAGATAAGTTAGAAGGGGGTTGAGGTATTGAACGTGGCAGAGAATATCGATGTTCCCGAATCTCGGGTGGGGTCTTAACTACTGCTCATCTCGGCGAGATGCTCCCCCTATTAGTGAAACGGTTGATGAGAAAATTAGGCAGAATTTCTGACGTCGTTTCGCCTTCCAACGCGCATCGACTCTTCGGGGAATCGTTTCGTAATTTGTCCTCGGTTCCCAGACAGAATATATAACGAAAAGTATATACACGAGTATTTTTATTCTTTAATATCTTCGTTAAAATCGTTATATTCTCGTGAAAACGACGAGAAGGTACAGTAATTTATAATAAAGTAAATTCTAGCTTTTTTCTTCTCTGTTTACAGGGAAAATACATTTACAAACAAAGCAGCGCTCATGGGAAACGCGTGCAGTGCAACATGGGCGCGAAGAACCATTGCATCGTTCTACCGGATGCGAATAAAAATAAGACGATTTCCCAAATCGTGGGTGCCGCGTTCGGAGCGGCCGGCCAAAGATGCATGGCGCTCTCGGTGGCCATATTCGTGGGGAGGTCGAGAGAGTGGATCCCGGAATTGGTTGGAGCATCGAAGAGATTAAAAGTGAACGCTGGACATATACCTGGGACCGATCTTGGACCAGTTATATCGCCTCAATCCAAGAGGAGGATATGCGACCTCGTCGAGTCGGGAGTGAAGGATGGCGCTACGTTAGCTCTCGATGGCAGAGGCCTCGTTGTCCACGGTTTCGAAAAGGGGAATTTCGTTGGGCCGACCGTGTTGACCGATGTGAAGGTATTTATATCCGTAGCGTGTTTGACAATGTTAAATAGAAGGTTGTTTTACAATATTTTTTTCAGCCTACCATGAAATGTTATACCGAAGAGATCTTTGGACCCGTTCTTTCGTGTATTTTCGCCGACACTTTGGACGAGGCGATCGATATTGTTAACAAAAGCCCTTACGGGAACGGGACTGCCGTATTCACATCAAACGGTGCAACAGCGAGAGCATTTGTAAATAGGATCGAAGCTGGCCAAGTTGGCGTAAACGTTCCTATCCCGGTACCTTTGCCAATGTTCAGTTTCACTGGAAATAAGGGATCATTTTTGGGCGATAATCATTTCTACGGGAAGCACGTGAGTGAAATTATATAAAAATTCGCACGGTTATCGATTAAAAATCGCTTTTTCGATTTTATCCTCGTTGGATACGCGATTCTTTGTATCGATAAAAATTTTTATTATTCGTCCCATTTTTTTGCGAACAAATTGCGAAATATTTTCTAAACACTTATTGCTTTTTCAGGGTGTACATTTTTATACACAAGTGAAAACGATAACTCAGCTGTGGAGGTCCGGAGATGCCGGTGATATCGCTTCCTCGACAGCTATGCCGACTATGCAATAAGATATTCGTTGATAATATTCGCATCTTGAAAAATCTTGCTGTATATTCGTTATCGATTTTTGCGAGCTGATGAATAGAATAAAAGTTATTTAAGTTTTCCTTAAACAGAGAGACAAGAGATATTCTAAAATTGTATACAGCGATGTCTTCCACTACTTCCGATAAGCAAATAATATAAATAATATATTACGTTTGCTACATTTATATTTTGTATCGAAATAATAAAATATTTTTAGCAAAATTTTATTTTTATCTTTTCTAGAATGCGTACCGTCGAATCACGAAATCATTATTATTTGATTATTCACGAATTTTAAAGAAAAATCATAGAGAAAACTCGATCGATTGTTTTCATATCGTTTAAGAATGAAACAGTATCGTAATATCCTCGTTTGCATAAAATAAAACGAAAATTACACGTCTTGACACGTCTTCCAATTCTCTTCTTAATACATAATATTCCATGATGCTAAAAAAAAACTTCAAACTCTTATTAATCTTTCCAACGACGAAGCGATTTCTTTAATCTCTTCGATATAAATATGAATAAATTGTATAAAGAGTAAAAAAAAAAAAAAAGATGAAAAAATTGGTATCGATCGAAGGATCGAAGATAAGATTCTGTTGGCGAGCGGATATAATAAGAAGATAGCCGGAAGAGAAGTTCAAGGTCGACAACGTCCTGCAACAACGTCCTTGAACCCAACTCGGTCTCTCGCATCCCCGTGGAAAACATTGAAACGGAGTGACGGAGTTCCGGAAAGCGAGCGGAACGCGCGCGCAGCCGCACTGCCACCCCCTGGCCAGCCGCATCTGCGCATTTTCCAACCAAATTTCTCTCACAGGCGAGGTTCTGCCTGTCCCGGATTGTCGTGTTCGTTCCGACGGAGCAGGCTGCCGGAATACGAAGAATACCAACCCCTTTCGGTTGTTCACATATCGTGAGTACATCCTCGCTCCCTCTTCTTCTTTATCCTTCCTTCTTCGCGATATTTTCTACCGTTTTCTACCCGATACTTTTCACCGTTCGATCCAATACGAATACGCTTCTCGAATCTCGCCATTTGTTTGTAAAGGAGTACGCTTCGCAAGCGTTGTGCTCGTCTCATTTGTTTTCGTCTTAGCTTCGTGGCTTCGCGCTCCTCACGCTCCTCGCGCAGAGAGAATTGTCGCTTCCTTCCAATATTTTCTGTTTCGTTTTGAAATTGATGGATTTTTCTTTTTTACTGTCTCGAAGGTTTCTTTTGGATTTTTTTTTTTTTTTTAATATCTTTGCGTCGCGAGAAACCGGCGGTGTTAACCTTCGTAGGTTCGAGGGACCGGCGTCGACTCGTGATTTAATATTTGCCGAGGAAAATCGGGAATCGATTCCCCACGGCGGAAGACCTCTGTTGTCCTTTCTTTTCTCCGGCCACGCTCGATAATCCTTTGGGAATTTGGAAAAATATGGGTCGACGTTGTTGCTTGATTCGAACATTGAAATAGATAAGTGAAATTCGAGGCATCCTCGAATTTATACGAATGTTATAAACGTTGTTCATATCAACGTTGTTCCTGTATTTTGTTTTCTTTCATATTATTCATAACTCGACGAAAGTGAAAATGAAAGAGATGTTGTAACGTGTGAAGTAGTATTTTCACGTTTCGTTAATTAATTATTCGTCTGTTTGGTAAATTTCACGTGTTAACTTTCGTCGAACATTCCATTCGAACGAAACGCATATACGCGTTTTTATCGTTATTAAGATAGGGATCTACTATCGCAAGTTTACGAGATCACTGTTTCGTTAAAATGCACGCAAACACATTGCTCTATGATTAATTATTAGTATTTCTACGTATATGATCCAATCTGAAAGATATAATTAAAATTTTTAAATTCAAATCGGGAAATATAATTGTTTCGTTTATATATTTTTACAACGACGATCGAATATACTTTCACGAATTTTAAGTTTCTACTAATAAATTATAATTTTTTCTTCTTATGAGAAAACGAGTAGAATTCAAACGTAATTTATATTACTACTCTTCAAGTTGAAAAATTTGTCAAAGTATAGCGCGGTAATTCTTTACGATTGCTATAAAATGTAAGTTGTTTTATATTTCTACGAGCAGCCGTTAGGGAATGAATAAAGAGTCGAAATGTATTTTTAGTTAGAAAATTTATTGCCGTCTTAACTTTATGATTGGATTTAAAAAAATTAATTGAACGATATTGTAATATTTTTTTCCTTTCGCGAGGTTTAAAATTCGCGGAGGTACACGTTCGCAGCCGCGTTAACTTTTTATTTTTTGGTACAAGCGCGTTTTATTTAACCTCATATTTTACCACGTTTCATCTCGCGCATACTTTAAAATAAACCATAACTTTTTAAGATTAAAGTTAAAAAGGGATTGTTCCAAGTTGTAAAAATTTTAATAAATTTTAATTCGATCATTACATATTACAACTCGTAGACGCGCAATGTTCACGCATTTTGTGTTAATGCATTGAAATTAGATTTTCCTTTATCGCATTAGAAAAATTCTTTACGTATTCCATTATCTTTGCTTTTAAAAATAAATAATGTAAAAAAAAAAATGATTATTTTATCGATGAAACGTATTTTGTTAATTAAAAAATCTTTTTATTTTTCTAGAAAGAAGAAATTTGTAATCTACATTTATGTAAATTATCGTGGTTTCTAATACCTTGTTTGAACATCTGTATTATTTCTGGAATATCTTCAGCTATTTGACGCGGATTACTTTCGTCTAAGACCTTTATTTAACTATCAAAGATAGATTTAATACGATAGTCAATATGTGGGTCATTTTTGACAAAGAAATTGGAAATCAAAATTAAAATTAGCAATTATTAACACCGTTTTATCTAATTTTACTAAAAATGATGTAATTTTGGAGTTGTAAAATAAAAATAAAACACGTGGAAATCGATCTAATGTGGAAATAAAAAGAGTTTAAACTTTCGTTTATTATTATAAAGCGATGAGAAAACAAAATGGTAATTAGAGTAAAGAAATTATTCGTTATGGCGAATTCACAATGAAATAAATATTATAATTCTTCTTCGTATGTAAAGAGTAATAATTTTCGAGATATTAAGAAAATTCTCGCACTTTTATATAATAAAATTTTCTTTAAATACAAAAGACGCGAGATACACGCGAGATACTCTTTCAATTTCTATACATTTCTCTATGAAATTTTCAGTGAAATCAAAGAATCTTCTATAAAACATTTCCAAAGAAACCAATACACTTTTACCTCGATCTTATTTTTTCTACTGCGAACGTTTAATTTCGATCAATGGATATTTATATAATTTCCATTAATCGAAACAGAAAAAGGAAAAAGAGAGAATGAATGCAGAACAAAAAAAAAAGGGATCTCTGTCTTTTGCTTGAACAACGTATGGAAAATTGCCAAGCATATACCAAGAGTTCAATTTCAATAGAACGCGTTTATCTTTTACACGCGTCAAATTTCGTTTCGTCGCATCGTCGCCTAAATGAAACTCTGTTTTCTTCTGTCCCAGCTTGGTGTTTCTGCTCCCATCCATGTCGTTTAAGAAAACAGTTCTGATTGAGAGCTGTTTCATCGGGCGGTAAATTCTGTGCAGTGTACACTTTCAACAGGTCGCGTAACGTGTTCACTTTGTCTTTACACAAGCAAGCCCACGTTCGTTTCATTAGTATCGAACAAAGTTGGGAAAACGGTGCATCTCACCTCTTTCATCCGTTTCCAGATAAACCGAAGGATGAAAATAAATGTAAGACTAATTCCAAGGAAGAAATACGTGCTTGTTAAAAAAAAAAAAATTTCCAATTTAATATATTTCAAACGCTTCTCGATTCTCTCGACCTTCCACAATATTTATTAATTCATCTTCACGATTATTTCTCATTTGAACGTTCATTCGTATTGTATACATACACACAGACACACACACACACACATATATATTTTCCTCCTCCAATTCTTCTTCAATTCTTGTTCCAACAGGTTTATTAATTATGTACAAAACGGTACGAAAAGGCGACGCCAGTCTGCAGTACACAATTGTACCGCAAACGGACCAGTTTTCGTCCGAGTTCCCTCAGACGTCGGAAAAATCTAGCCCGAGAGTGATCAAGTACACCATAGCCACTTTGCTCGTCCTGATCATCCTGTCCTGCGTGGCGACCCCGTTTCTCATAAGTCAGAATGATCAGAGCCTGTTCGCGGGCACTGTGCTCGCGATGGGTCGGGTCGGCCACGACACAATGGAGAGAAACTTGTCGAGGAGTCAGGGGAAAGAGATCGGCGTGAACAAAAGCAAAAGCAGGGTTCCGATCACCACAACCACCACCACCACCACCACCACCACCACCACCACGCTCCCATCGAGCGAAGCCTACAGGAAGCAGGATGTCGAGGACGAGATGACTACGGGAGCGTTGAATGCCGAGGAACAAGAGTCGGAGGAGTTCACTACCACGGGTATGAATTCTTTGTGTCGCTTTCTCCCTCCTTCTCCCCGACAGACTGAATCGATGCTTGTTGCGCGTTTGTGTCAAGTTGAGGATTTTTATTATCAGAGAAAAAGAAAAGAAGGAAAAAATACTTTCCTCTACGAAAGAAATTTTAGTTAAACGAAGAGGGAATTAGTTCTTTCGGGTTTTAAATTAAAAAAAGGTTGAAAAAATTGAGGAAGATTGTGTCATTGGTTATACGTTTACAAAACGTATCGAAAAACGTCTCTTTGTATCCTCGAATATTTACGTATCGGAAATACATCTTATCGAGTTATCTATTTAAAAAGTTTGATTTCAGTTTTGGAATCAATTTAGATCGGTAAGACGAGCTAATTCGACACCGTCCTCCAAGTGCCAATAGTTTACATTATCCTTTAATCGGCCCCTATAAAAGTTTCTCGAAACTTTTAATAGGAGGTTGGATCGATGGGTAAAAAAGAAATTGATAATATCCACGCAATTGTTGTTCAAACGTTTCGCGGTTAGTTTCCCATAACACGCGGCACGCGAAATGCTTTCATTATGCAAACATTTCGATGCAACGTGACGTTAATAGAGCGTTGAGAAATTCACCTTTAATCGTTTCACCAAGTCTGTGACATTTATCGCTTTTATCGTGTCCTTTAATATCGATTTTCTCGTTCTACACTCCAATTTACGTACGCCAATTTACGTGTCTTGTTAAAAAGAAAAAAAAAAAAATAACAAAACATTTAACAATAAGCTCGCTTATGGAAACGACGATCAAGTCAAATATTTTATTTCGTATGAAAATTAAAAAATTTTTCTAAGCGAAATTACTCGTGCAGAGCTGTACGTGATTAAATATATTCCTTCAAAATTGACTTGGAAAGAATTAAAAAAAATTTTACCCGATCTTTTCTCATCTACGAACTTTCAATTCCTTTTTTCCCCTGAACTTTTTGCTCCCAGATTCCACGACGAGTAGCACGCAGCATCAACAAACCAGCACGGAATCGTCGACGAGTATTCGACAAACGTCGACGTCCCCGTCATCGATTCTGTCATCGACATCGACGTCGACCAGTTCGAAAACATGGACAAGCACGACGAGCGAGGTGGTCAAGGCGTCTTCGAACGCGTCGAGAAAGGCGAAGATGCCGAGGGTGACCTTGAAGCTGAGAGAGAACGAGACGATACCACAGATGTACATGAAGGCGGGGATAGCGTCGTACAAGAAGGGAAACATCACGACGAGCGTGCTGGCCCACGGCCTAAGCCTGGAAGGGTTGATCTTCAAGACACCGGAGGGTACGATAAACCCGTGGCCGCAAAAGTGGTTCTTCACCGATCCCTCGTCCGACTTTCAATGGAAGGTACAGTCATCTCCGCAAGTAAGTTAACGAGCATGTGCGACAATGCAGGGTGTAAGTGGGTCGAATTCTACTCTTATCGTCCTTTTCGTCCTGCATTGTTTACGTTCATCGATTGATAATCGCTGTTTGACTAGTTTCGATCTTGCAAATATACAAGTGAATTTCACTTTTCAAAGCAAAAGACTTTGAAAATCTTTGTTCGATATTTGCAATAATTGTATTTAATATTATTTCCATTATTATTAATAGAATATTCATTTTTTGAAGGAATGTTTGGAGATATTCGTGGAGGATTTGTTTATGTTAAGTTGCGAGCAATTTAAGTTGGCGTTAAATGAAGCGTGACTATATAGAGTGAATAGTAGAAAAAATTTCAACGTATCTTTCCTCATTACTTTAAATTTTCACCAGAGTTATCGTACAATGCTATTCGAGAGCGTAAATTTCTGCGTATTTGTGGTTTCTTATCTCATAAACTCTATGACCGAGTACACTCTATCCGCTCCAAATAGTTCAAAACTTTGCTGCTTTGGAATTCACAAGCACACCGTGAATACTGGACAATTGCGTATAAAAAACGGCATACATTCTACGCTTTTTCACATTCGTCTCTGTAAAAATCCTCGATTTTAATATTACGCGCTTCGTGCCACTATTTTCAATTTCACGTTCTTGTTTAAATTTGCGATCCTTTTCCATTTATTTTCTTTCTATTTTTTTTTTTTTTTTTTAAACGACGAGTGTTATTAACTATAAAGAAATATATTTATGGCATAGCTTTGGAACATCGATTCTAAACTCCTAAAATAAACGCAAAAATTGATACACGAAAATATCGGTTGGGGCATATTTAACAAGTTATAAGTAATTCAAGTTAAACGAGGCGAGATGCAGCGCCGCGTCGCGGCGATATTACGAAGAAATTTTATCTCTGTCATACCGCGTGCTATCATATTGTCTCCATCCCGCTTTGTTCAACGCAAACTTTACTCGTTCGTAACTTAATAAATAAACTTCAATATTTTTGTATATTTTGCATTCGTTTTCACGTTCTAGAATCGATTCTCCGATGATATTTCACGAATGTATCAAAATATAAAAATATAAACATTACGATATTTTATTATATATCGTATTTTACAAGTATTCACTTGATTTAAAAAAGTTACGAGTAAAGTTAAGTTTTTTCGTCGTTGTTCTCATTCTTATCGAATCATTCTTTGATAAAAAATAATCATCATAGCTTGAACTTCGTTTAACCAAAGTTTCAATTTCCTAAACTGTTTCTTAAATCCTTTTACCATTTTCTTTCTAAACAAAAACATTTATCTCCATCAAACTTTAAATTAAAGAAGAAAACCGATCACGGATCGAATAAAAACAAGTTTCGAGTACCATTCGATAATAAAAATAATAGCAATAAAAATATAATCAGATAGAGTTTCCATGGTAGAATCTTCGATGAAAATAATAGAAAATCGAACGGTACAAAAGGTTTGCCTTCCTTTTAAAATTTCTTGCGCATCCCTCTCGAGGATTGAAACACGCTCGAATCGAATAGAAAATTTAAGGTGGATCTTTACGAATCCCAAAGGTTAATTTGTATTCTACATAAATATTGATCGCGTTGCAGCAAAGACATCTAAAACCGAAGGTACTAGCGACTCGCGATCGATAGACAGGGCATGTTGGTGAATCTTAAAGCGGTGACGAGAAATAGCCGGCTTCCTTTTATAGTTCTCCCACGGTTTTCTCTTCTAGGCCACCATTATCTCTTTCTGGCCACGAGATGAGAAAGGGTAATCGTTCCTTCGGAGACTATTCTCCTTCTTGCTGTTCATTTCCAACGCGGCCATCGCGTTGAGAATAATTGCTATAATTGCCATAATTATTATACGCTTTTATTCGAAGAATGAAAGTTATCGCGTATTTTAATTACACAAAAATTGCGTAAAATTTATCGTTGTTTTGATCCATTTTATTTTGTCCCGTCACATTTTCCTCTTTATTCGCATGGAAGTAAAGTGAATTAATAAATAATCAAGATTTTCGATCGTGTTTCGCGAAGAATTGAACGAATGAATCCAATTTGAATTTTATCACCGATTATATCTCCCCCTGGACTCCCCGTTATCGTTTCGCCAGAATTTTCAAATCGTTGCATACTCAAACGGATTTATCGTTGGCTCGAGACGAGGCAACAAACGATCGCCTTATGCAAGTTTCATAAATTGCGGCAGTCCACGCAGTGATAACGCGTCTGTGTTTATCATTGCTTTCGGTTGAAGTAGCACAGACAAAGAAGCAAATCAACTGTGCGCAAAATGAGATGGTTCGTTTCCTCCTGGAATATTAGACGACAGTCCCTTCACTTTTTAATGTTATAAAATTACATACACACATATATATATATATACCTCTTAGCTATTGGTTATTATTAAAAATTTTAAATCACTGAAAATTATTCATTGAAATTATCGATTTCGAACTTAATAATTCATTATTGTTTGACAAAATTACAAAAACACGATACACAAAGAGAGAATGCTAAAAATATCATCACTTTCAAACAAATAGAGAAAGAAATAGAATTTATTTGAACGAATAATCTGCACATCCTTTAATTCTAATACGAATTTATATATTTTCACAAGGTATAATGGAAAAATCAGTTTTTCCATTATAAATCTTCGTTGAATTCGAATCGTATTTTTCCTCCTCTCTTCGTCTCTCGTATTTTCTCAAATCATACGGATTGCGCGTATAATCTGTCTGTTAATAACATTAAATTTCAATATTCCGATGCGGCGAGATTTACACGAGAGAGCAGAGGAAGGTGTGAAAAATTAATCTGGAAGAAGGGGCGGCATTCAATTTCGCGGATTAAATTAAATTACATTCCACGGTAAATGTGTCTTCTTAAAGGGAAAAGTTATTTAAATGGAAGATTAATCCTACGTGTCGACCTACCGTTAGACGATCCCCCACCAATCAGAATTTCAAACAGTCTTCGCAGGCAAAGATCTTATCCGGGACACGCGGAATCAGTGTTCGATTTCAATGGAAATCTCATTCAATATCGATTTCCCGGGGATAATTTATGTTAAGAATACTCTAAAACAACCGGAGGAAAGTCCAATTTAAATTATGCGGAACGAAACTTTCTTTAAGTAAAATTAAAGCACCGTATTTATATATGCTGCTAATAATATTTTATAATTTCTATTTCTTCGAATTGAATATTTATGTCATAAAATTTTGTGTAAGAAAGTTTCAAAGATAACGACTGATGGAAAATATAAATATTTGATGGAACGATCTCATCTTTTTTGTTCTCTCAAATAAATTTAATAAATTTTATAGAGATTTTCGTTGTATAAAATAATGATCGAGATCACATTAGAGATAATACGTGACAAATATTTTGAATGGTGACATACATGGAAATTTGGTGCATTAGTTACAAATAATCTTATTATCTTACGTATTTATTATACAAGATTCATGGAAGGTTTATAATTTTCAGAATAAAAAATAAAAATTCGCTAAAAAAAGCCCTAACAAATATAAGTCAATGAATTAATATTTTCAAAATTATAAATTTTAAAACAATTAAAATAATTTGTTGATACAAGAATTTTCGAATTAATGAATCGAGAAAAATATAAATGAGTTTATATAAATTTGAACGAAAAATTGAATAAAAAAAAAAGAATAGGAAAAAGAAATTGTATGATTTAATATAAGAGAAACTATTTAGAAAATATTATTTTCTATTTAACTATTTATAACTATTTATTAATGAAAATTTAGTTAGTTTCCCAATATAAAATAATCATTGGGGAATTGTCTATTTAATAGACACGAAGCTTAAAACAATTATTATATTGAATTACTTAACTGGGTCAAAATTTCCGATACTGAGTTTTGTTTCATTATAAATGAATAAATTTATGACGAGTCACGAGTGTATTTGAACAAGCATCGTTCGTAACATTTGCGCCTATTTTTCAAGAACTTTACTTATATTCTAAACTTTATCGAGTAATCTTGATGGTAACCTAATGGTAAACTTTACCATTCGTTTCAATCCACAATTTATATAATATTCTTGGAAATCTAGGAATAATTAAATATTGTGATGAAAATTTAAAAAAAACATTTCAATTCCAATATAATAAGACAATCTTCAATTGCTCATAAATTAATAACAAATAAGTCTCAACCAATATTATTTTGTATAGCAACTTTTGCGTTTGTTTTACTCTCTCAAACGAATCAATTCTTCAAGTTCTTATCGTTATTATTTTTATTTTTTATTTTCGTTTTACCTTATCACACGATCTAATCTTCTCGAACGTTTAACCTCGACAGACTAAAGAAAAAGTGGCATCACGTTATTCCGCAGGGGTTAAACCAAATGCCGATAAGGATTTACATAGTCCTGGCAGTGTTCGCGGCCTTGGCAAGCGTCAGCATCTCCCTTCTACTGTACGTGCAGCGAAAGGCTACGAGACGCCAGCGCCAGAGTGTGGAGGAACCGGAAGTGGAGGGCCACGAGGAAGACAAATCGACTCTGTTGGGAGCCGAGAGTCAGGAAACCGAAGAGAAAGAGTAATCGTGATTTCCATCACGGGGAGAGAGCCACGTAGCTCGTAAGACTCGCATATTTTTACAACACGTACATGCGTCACTTTAGATTTAGATAATCTCGCGTGAAATACAGGAATGGATGGGGTATAATATTTTCCGGCTTCGATCGATCGAGTGTGGGAGGCTCCGTTTTTTAAAGGAATTGACGAAATAATCATTATTGCCCAACTATAAGAGAAAAACTTCACGTGTAATTCTGACAAGTCAACAAGTAAATTTTGAGTTCGCCTTATTCGTTCCTGGAACGAATATATGAAACGTGAAAACTGAAGTTTCAGTTTTAGATATTGGTGATAATTTAGAATAATTCTTCGATACTGTACTTTATAATTACGTAGTTACTTTTTACTTGTTTTATTCGTTGTTAGGTTATTTTATATTACTATCTTCTTCAATAAGTGGGCAATATTCTTTTTGTTTTATATCTTGGTTACGTACTTGGGCATAGTCGATCGCGAAAAATCAATTTCGATTATAGTTTCAGAGACGTATATGCTAAACTTATGATGTTTTAATTCTTACGAAAGTTTTTTGATACGAATATTTGTTACTAATATTTCGAAAGATATCGTGTAATATTTAATTCTCGCAAGGATATTCGATAGATCAAAATATTAATAATTCTTATGTTATGTTATTAATATTTTGATCTTTGATGTATTTCCAATAATCAATTTCAAGGGCGATTTCCTAGCGATATTGCTTTCAATTTAATCATTCCAAAAAGTAGATCTCTTATTTATAATCATCGAAAGATTTCATCGTGTTTGAAATTTAATTCAATGATTTCGATCTTCCACGCGAAGGACCAGACTCAATTTTTTCAGTCGATACATTCAATCAAGGAGGAGAAGATCGTTGGAAAGATAGTCGACTATAGATGGATGGAAATTTTCGACGACAAACGTTCTTCTTTCAAATTTGAGATGCGCAGACGACTGAATGGAATAACCTGGCGTGTTCATATTTTTCATTTATTATTGGTAGGGTTGTGCTGATGCGTTGTGGTCCGATTAATTTCCATTATATATTAATACTAAACGCTATTTGTTTAAAACGATTGATTTCTTTGTATTTTAATATCTAATTATTTGCAATTTACTTTATTACATTATGTGTTATACTTGTCTATTACATTTTTATCAATATTATCAATGTAATCAAATTTAAAAGTATATGTATATTTTTTATACTATTAATATAAATAGAGAATTTAGGTTTTTACCTATAATGGTTATATTTATTTAGGAAAGAATTATCGAAAATTTGGAAGATTGAAAGTATAAAATCGATCAAATGTTTCGATATAGAAAAAATCGAATAGCAAGGATTGCTCAATTGGATATTTATATTTGATAGCGAGTATAATGCTAACGAGAATCGCGATAAAGTTCAAGACCACCTAACGATGATAGTCGGTACTACGAATCGGCGATCAGTATAGACAAGATTGTCAAATCTAATTGTATTTTCTTCGAGACATTATAATTTATGTATCTTAATAATTGATATTCCATCGGACCACGACGTGTTACACACATACTTTTGTTGAAATAATTATACGATTAAATCTCTATCGATAAAGTTTAAGAGATCGAATGTAAAATTTCTTTCTCAAAAAAAAGAGATTCCTTTCGATTATCAGTATGTAGATATTCACTGGCTTTAATAGTGGACTGCACGAGATTCATATTTCTTAATGTCAGAGAATTCTAATGATTTTTTAACATTTTATAAAATATCTTGCATATCTCTGCTGAGGATCATAGATTTATCAAAGAATTTCGGAACTCTTTGCTACAAACGTATGTGTAAAGAAATAAACCTATACTTATGAGTAAGTAACAAAGCTACGTACCTCGATGACTCATTAAGGAGATAGTTTCTGAAAAAAAAGAAAAAAAAGAGAAAGTATCGTTAATTATCGATAAAAATTTTAAAGAAGTAAGAAATTTTTTTATATTTTGTTTATTATCGTTGTTATCTTACTAGAGGAAATAAAATTAATCTTCTATTAATGGCACTTTTTATCGAGATTTGGAAATAATTATAATATTTATCATTAATCAATAAAATATTTAATATTCAAATAATTAGAATATTAATTATCTTGTATTATTTTTGATCCTTATTTTTTATATTGAATTCCAATCAGTATTTTTTTTTTTTTATATATCTTTATATGCACTTTTATCGACTAATGATTATTAAATTTATAAGTTTTTTGTTTGACATTTCTGAAATGTCAAACAACAATATTACACGTATATTGCATCTTAAAAAAAGAAATCGATATTAACGATACGTGAAAAATAATGTCAAATATTAAAGGACAATCTCCTTAATTCGGTCACACTATTTGCTAAATTTTCTATAATGTATGCAATATGCACTTATACATGATCGTAAAATGGTACGAATACTTTGCCGATTTTCTTGAAAGAAATTGCACTTTAAAATTTTCTAGCACTGACAAAATTCTTTGTTTCGTTTATCATCGCGTAAATTTATTGCCATGAAAGATTGATAGCCAAATCTTCAAAGAATCAATTTAATTAATTGTTTGAAAATTCATTCCTTTTAATTTACATTCGAATTATCGAATATAACAATTTTCGTCGAAACTAGTTTCTTTTAATTTTTTTTTATTTTCTATGACTTTTTTTATTAAACTATAGAATTTTTCATATCAAACATTTCTTTATAATTAACAGATATATCATTTATTTTTAGGAAATTTATACGTGTAAACAATGTAATTTAAACGCGTGAACAAAATATCATCAAAGATAGATCATAAAATTTTTTAAAATTATATTTCATTGTCTCTCGAAGGATACCTCATTTTATAATAGCGTATCATCTCGTTCACGTTCAATATCTTATTTTATTATTTAATTATACCTGATAGACGTTCGTAAAAATCAATTTATTTCTCTTTGTTTCAGAATATAATGAAACGTTCAGACGTTAAAGACAAAATATAATTAACTGAATATTTCTCGTTCAGTTTTTTAATTGATAAAGATTTTTTTTTCAAAAAAAGTATTCACTTTGTTAATTAATGGTTTCGCTGTAAAAAGAGCTGCGATTAATCAGTGAAAAATTGACCCGCAAATTTTTTTCTTTTTCATTTTTTTTTCTTTTTTTTTTTTTTTTTTTTTTTTCTATTTTCATTGTCCTTAACCAATAGGATGAAAAATATTCGATGATACAGATAAAATTAAAATTATAATTTCATTGATAAGCTTACGTAACGGAGCAGCATGTCATTTTGATATAATACGTCAGATACATTGCGAAAGAACGATAACGATTTGGCTCGATATATTTAAATTTATTATCACACGATATGTATTTAAATCGACAAATATTCTTAAAACTTTTACTCATTTATTCTACAATATGAATTGAATATATATTATTTTAAAACGTTGTAATTCGAATTTATATACGAATTGTTTATTAAATAAATTCGTACAATATTATGTGATTATTTATTAACAGTCAAATCGTTTTAACAATATTTTGTATTTTTATTTCCTGTGTAAAAATTATCTGGAAACATAATGCATATATGCACGAAACAGAATTTTGTAGCGAAAATATTATTTTATGATTAATTTATGAAAAATGTGTATAAATTGTGTAAAAAGATGTTATTTCAATTCCGAATATATTCGTATATTTTCATTAATATATCAATGTTCCAAACTGCGTCTTAGAATTATTAACTATTAATTAAACTTTATCACCGTGAGTAATTAATGATTAATTGGATTGTCTTGCAAGTATCGTGTTGTATGTTAATATTAACAAAAAAGAAAAAAAAAAGAAAAACAACGTTTTTATTGTTAAGACATTTTTACTAAGGATTTAAAATTTCTATTAGTGAAATGTATTTCTTCTATAATTGAAATGGCGATGATCCACAACAGAATTTAGGAGACAATCGAATGTAGTATTTTTTGCGCCATTTTTCATGCAATTTTCACACAAACAGCATCGTTCAGTATTTTTTAAGGCAATACACAGAATGTAAAAAGGTAAATTATTATTTAAACAATTAATTTATAAATTTAGATACGTTTTGATATTTTTATAATAATACTAATACTAATACTACTACTAATAATGATAAAAATAATAAACGAGCTCAATTAATAATAATTTCAAAATGATTGTTTAAAATTTCATTACAATATTGAATTTTTATTTAACGAAATATTCTTTATGTTTTGTCACTTTTTTTTCAATAATTTGTAAATAATGAAAATCATTCAATCATTTTCCTTAATAAAAAGAAGAAAAGCTTGAACGAAACGATTGTTTCTTTCAAAATATAAATTTTTGTAAAAAGTCAGCAAAACGATTTAATTACGAAACAGTAATTTTACTGAATTATTAAGCAGATTATAAGACCTGTTGCTCAATTACCATTGCTTCACTGCGAGAAAAATCATGAAGATTTTGTAAAAAAGATTTTTGTAGTCGACAGTAAAAACTGCATTGCAGAAAAATCCAGCGAGTATTTAATGAAACATTTAGTTCATCGATGAACATAACAAAACGATACGTTACGCGTTATATGTATAAATATGTGTTACATCTAATTAAGTGTAAGACCAATTATTTGAACCAATATTTCCTATAATTATGCGAGAAATACATTATTTCTGCGAAATAATCGTACGCTAGAAATCGATTTTGTAAAATCATATCGATAGAAATAGATGAGACGCGAACAGTGAACGTTCACGATGTTGTATCATTTTTCGTTATATATGTTCGAACGCAATCGATTGTTTTATTATTAAAAAGGACGAGCTCGAAGGCTCGTCCATGATAATTAGATTGATAAAGCTTTGAAGAGACGTGATCAGAAAGAGTAAATTTTTCTTTTCACGAACGTTCCTTCGTTCTCGAGCCAATGAACACGCAAATTATAAATACACATGTAATTCTTGTATAAAGAAAACAAGAAAAGGGACAGAGAGAAAGAGAGAGAGAGAGAAGAGAGAGAGAGAGAGAGAGAGAGAGAGAGAGAGAGAGAA